GTCTCGAACTCCTGACCTCAAGTGATCTGCCTGCCTTGGCCTCCCAAAGTGTTGGGATTACAGAACTGAGCCACCACACCCAGCCTTCTTTTTTTAAATGCCGCTGAAATCAAGGCTATCTTTTTGTTTAAGCCAATATTTAAATTTCAGAGACTATCAAAGGAATTCATCTTTAAAACAATCTTGGTGACTTCTCTTCTAAGAAATAATGACAGAGTGCAAAATCATGTTTGATCAAGAATGCTTACTAAAGCATTATCTATAAGATATGGAAACAAATGTCCAACAACTTGGAATTAGTGAAATAAATTATGAAATAGTCATTATATAAAATATAGTGCAGTGATTTTAAACTTTTTTTTTATTTTAAACATTTTTTAAAATATTTGATCACTTGGAAACATGTTTATAATGTAATAAATGAAAAGAATGGGATAGTGTTATTCCAATTTTTAAAGATGTCTCTTTCTACACATAAAATAAACATAAAAATATGAGCATTTTAAATTATACTTACCTTGAATTTTTCTAATCCAAAGCAAAGTAACTGAAAACATCTTTAAAGTACACACTACGTAAGACACTTTCCCAGTAGATTAATTCATACGTATTGAATATTATAGCAATAGGATGTGCCCTAGGGACAATTTCGTATCATTTTCACCTCTGAGCAAATTCTTTGCACCCTATAATGGTAATTCTTCCTGATGTGAAACACAAGTCCCAAAATGTTAAAATGAACAATAAGAAATGGCAAAAATGGGAACATTCAAGCAAGTTAAGAAATACAGGAAAAAAGCTTGAAAATTACATTCATCTATGAATGAAAGCATTATTTTCAGTGTCAACAGCAGAATATCAATCTGAGTGCAACACCATGTAATTAGGGCTTATAATGCAGAACACAATAATATGAATATTCAAAACTATTATATGACCCTAACAAATTTTATTTTACAGAAAGTAAAAACTTTATATTATATTTATATATCACATAAAACTTTATATAATATACATATGCACATATAAGTGTATATATACTCGTGTGTGTATGAATATCACAGCTTAAGGGAATCAGACTTGCATTTTCAATGAACTGGACAGAGTATGAATGGGCGACAGAGTGAAAATCTGACTCAAAAAACAAAAAAAAGAAGAAAAGAAAAGAAAATCCAAGTTAATAGCTTTGAGGGTGTTAATTTTTCAACTTAACTTCCCGCATTTTCTGGTTTCTTTTTTTTTTTTTTTCTTTTGAGACGGGGTCTCAGTCGGTCGCCCAGGCTTGGAGTGCAATGGCGCGATTTCGGCTCACTGCAACCTCTGCCTCCCAGGCTCAAGCAATCCTCCCACCTCAGCCTCTCGGGTAGCTGGGACTACAAGCCCATTCCACCGTGCTTGGCTAATTTTTTGTATTTTAGTAGACGGGGTTTCACCACTTTGGCTAGGCTGGTCTCCTGGCCTGAAGTGATCCACCCACCTCGGCCTCCCAAACTGTTGGGATGACAGCTGTGAGCCACCGTGCCAGGCCATTTTCTGTGTTATTCATGGCATGCGACTTAAATGTATAGATTCTCTCTTCCACTATGCAGTTTCCCATACCTGCATGTTGTCCTCCTTTTGACTGCAATTATGAGGAGGAAAAATTTGATTTTTTATGAGGTTTTTTACATGAAACCTCCCATTTTGGGCAATCACAAAACTAAAAATGAGGTATGGTAAGTCAATGGACTCTGTAACAATTACCATTGAAGACCAAAATTCTACTCAATAGTTAGTTAAAAAGGGGAAAAACACCACCCAATTAATGGCTTTAACGGGCCATTTTGCACAATATTTGAGGTAAGAAATAGAAGAAAGTATCACATGGGCTGAGCGCAGTAGCTCATGCCTGTAATCCCAGCACTTTGGGAGGCCAAGGCGGACAGATCACAAGGTCAGGATTTCTAGACCAGCCTGACCAACATGGTGAAAGCTTGTTTCTACTAAAAATACGAAAGTTAGCCGGGCGTGGTGGTACGCGCCTGTAATCCCAGGTACTCAGGAGACTGAGGCACGAGAATCACTTGAACCCGGGAGGCAGAGGCTGCAGTAAGCCGAGATCACGCCATTGCATTCCAGCCTGGGCGACAGAGCGAGACTCCATTTCAAAAAAAAAAAAAAAAGAAGAAGAAGAATAAAGTATCACATGTACGTTTTTATTCTGTTGTTATCAACCTATTCTCTTATTTTTCATTATAATATGTCTGGCTTTATTTTTCCTTTGCTTGTAAAAATTGGATGGCTGGAGAACTTTTACAGACAAAGAAAAATGTGCCAAGACTTACACGATGAGAACCCTGCCATTTCTATAAACTCTTGTTAAAGCTTTAGTGTTTCTATGATATACTGCTGCAGTACTTTGAATTTATATAGCACCTGTCTACTTAAAAGCCAAAGCTTCACGTTTCTCACTTATCCTTTCACCACCTGTGAAATACGTAGATTGAAATCACATGGCTTAAAAATAAAGTGAAACCCAGATATGACCACAGAAAATTTCAATGATTTACTTAAGATAATCTATCTGTCCAGACTGCAAAGGACTAAAAGACCCTAAATTCTATGCTCAATGCTTTTCCAATAAACAATACCACCACCCTTATTATCAAATACATTTCTAAACTTTTAAGAAAATGTAAGGTTTCTCATATTATAAAATCAGTAGGCTTAATGCACCAAAAATCGCTGTCAAGGAATTATATAAATGGCACCTCTTTATTTTAAAGAACTAACATTAGTCATGAAATAACCCACTGATGATCAGTTTCCTGAATAGTCATCAATTTGCCAACAAAGTATTTAGCTTGGATCAATGCAATTGCGTCAAAGTTTGAAAAGTCAACTGATAACTGAAATAAGCCAGATTATGAATATTTGAAAAAATAAAACCCAGCAAACCAAAAAGCTTGAGCAATCCTCTCTTTTTATAAACAAAAGCATGAATGGTGTCTGGCACATGTATGTACTCAATTAGTTATCAATATAATAATTCTAAATGACTTTCTGAAGGTCAAATTATGAGTCAATGGCAGAGCCCTATCTAGAATCTAGTTCCTCTGAGGGCAAGTTCAATGAAATTAGTATTTTCATTTTCATATACTAACAATGCTTCTTCATCCCTAAAACAGTTTATACTTACTAATATTTATCTTTCAAGTGTCAAGACTAAGGCAAAATTTGGTATTATTACATTTATCATGAATCTTTTGAAATTGTCTCACCTCCATAACTAAAATAAATTGGCCCAAGTATGATCAGATCTTCTCCTAAGACTGACATTTCACGATTAGACTGTTTCCATAACTTTAACCAAAGCACTCTCATAACTAAAATCAGCTAGTCATGACCACTGGTATATAAAAGAGCTTCCAACATTGTAACGTATCAAAAAAGCTTTGAAACCTCCAACACACTGAATATACATTGTGTGGTATATCACTGTCTAGAATAATACAGACTCAAAACATGACCCAGCTGACTTCTTCTAAATGAGTTGTATTATTTTCACAGATCAAAAATTTTGCCTTCTGGATCACTCTTCACCAAAAGAAAAATTGTCATATGACCAAAGACAACATAATTCTAAAAACAGATACCCCATGTTGTCATGTATCGAGAGAGATTCATTTTCAAATTTTATTTTATACCAGCTACTTTCGGAATCTGTACCACACAGCAAAAAAGAAACAAACAGTTCGGCTTATACATTCCACATAGATTATGCTAGACCAAACACAATAGCAAAGTCATGAATTTATCATATGTGCTAAGAACACTGTCAGTACATTTCATGAAAATCCAAGTAGAAATAATGCCTAAAACATAATATGGGATAATGGCAAATGGACTTTCTTCTTGTACCCTCTCAGTGTCACCAAAAAGAACCACTTTGGTGCTCAAGCACCATGGCCAAGCTGCCCTTTTCTTTTCAGTAACAGGTTTCTGTTCGCTTGGGAGAAAAATCTCAGTGGGTTTCTGGTAGTGCCCTGGATACTGACATTCTGCCAGTATAAATAGTCACAGTCAAAGTCTAATGTGCGTGTAATCACTTGTAGAAGAGGCTTAATTTCACCCAAATTATTACTCACTAGTTACAATTAATCCTTCTACCCAAAATGCCATAAGCCTAGTCATTTTTATCAATTGAATCTAAATGGTTACATCAGACTAGAGACTTTGGACTTCAATGTTGATCGTCTGTATTAAGTCAAGGCAAAGCGTCATTTACTTATTAATAGCTCCCCACCTCAGGTAAAGTAAGGGGTTGCTATCTGCTGGATCTAACAGTAAAAATTAAGAATTTTACTCCCAGCCCTCTAATTTTAATAAAAATTTGGGCTCATTAGATCATACCACCAAAAAAGGAAGTCAGCAATATTGGGGGGTGGTGTTCAATGAGTAGGCATCCCAAGACAATGAAAAGCTGTGGAATACAGCCTAGCAATGATTCTGTTTGGACATGATTTCACAATACTTAAAAAAGAACTTATCCCCCTACCACTTTAACCTAGTTGAGTGGTAATAACTAGCTTTTTTTGAGGTTAAACATTTATTATTTCAATCTAAAATTATATTATCACCTCACTTCCACTAGAGGGGTCTATCTACCAGTGTAGTTAACTCTAGTAACTCAGGTGCACCTTAAATCCATTTCCAGCTAATCTGTGCCACAAAGCTAGCCTTGGGATCAGAACTATGTGCTTTAAGGTTGTTCTAGTTTTCGGGTTCAGAAACGGATGAACAGCAAGAAAATGGAGTGCTGCAGTCATTCAGAGGCTGCTGCAGGAGACAAAGGGTTTTTGGCAAAAGAATACAAAGTCAGAATCTCTTAAATATCTTCTGCCCTGGTTGTTTCCAAGGCTGAATATGCATCAACCAGGTCCCTCCCTCCCTCCCTCCCTCCCTTCCTTCCTTCCTTCCTTCCTTCCTTCCTCCCTCCCTCCCTCCCTCTCTTTCTTTCTTTCTTTTCTTTCCAGATAAGCAAAGCTTTTAAACTCCTGACCTCAGAGGCTCCTCTTCTATACTCTGTAATATATAATCTGAATAGCCAAATTGCCACGTTTTCCCAGCAGCAACCTTAACTTGGGTCACTTGGGCGGGTGTAGGTCAATATGGGAAAGTCGTTTCAGTGTCCTCTCATTATTCTACCAAACCACTGACAGGCAAAAACCCAACCAACTCGATGTATCAAATTTACTGTCCACTGTTTTTGTGCATGATTTCTAATCTAATTAATTCAAAACCACAAATAACTGGTTAATTTTAGTCAAGAGGTTATCTACCACCTTTAAGTAGATGTCTAAAATAGGGAACAGTCTAATTAAAATATAGGCCAGACCAAGGAAGATGAACAGAGCCTTACTTTTTAACACCATCTTGTGGGATATAACTTCAAATCTAGCATTCAGGGACAAAATGGGGCATGAGTAAAAGGATGACTTCGCTAGAAAATAATTAGTAAGATGTTTTTTAAATTTAGAAAAACCATGAGATTGAAGAGCAGAGGAGATATATGTCCCAACTCACATATATTTCAATCCCTTATTTTAAAAACAGCTCCTGTTTTTGTTTTGGATAAAAGCTGAGCACCAAATTCCCTTTCTGGTCCCCTCATCCAAAATCCTAGTAGAATTCCTTGATTAGAAGCTAGTTCACACTTCTCCCCACCTTTTTTTTCAAACGCAGAGGTGGTTTTTGGAATATGGGCCTCAACCATCACATTCCAGCTTTAAAGTAAAAAGACGTCATGTGACCATCACATCAGAGACTTGGGGCACGTGATTCCAATTGGTATGTGTGGGGCTCCAGCCACTTAGCTGGAATTCACCATAAACTGCATCTCGAGGATCAAGTTTAGGCTCCCCAGTCCATTGTGACATCCAGCAAAGTGGAGTAAGTGCTTGCTCTTCAACAGTTTTTACTTTTCCCTACATTTTCTACCTACTGTTAGCCAGGCTCCCTTCCCTCCTCCCCATCCCTCTTAACAGGCCGGGCGCCCCCAGCATCCCGTCTGTCTGATGCTAAATGGTGAGGCTCTCCAACCCACTTAGTTCCAAGCTCAACCTTTTGCAAAAGCTCAGCCTTCTGCACCAATGGGGATATCGTGCTGCTCAGGTGAAAGGCAAGGAGCATCGCATAAGGCTAGAGTCAGATGCCATTAACCCCCACTCCACCTCCCGGGCTGGGATCATCTTACGTCCCGGAGCCCGGCGGTCGGAACCGCCAGCACACTGGAGTAGCGACGGCGGCAGCAACTTTGGGACTGGCGAGAAGCCAGGGCGGGGGTGGTCGGCGTCCCCGGGCTTCTCATTAGAGCGCTTAAGTACTGCGGGTGGAGAAAAGTAAACACAGGCAAGTGCAGCTGTGCGGGGAAAGGCGGGGGATGGGGCATATTACCTCCCTCCCGTCGCCCCTTCGGCTCTCCCTCTCCAAGAGTCGGAGAGGTCCGGGACTGCAGCCGCCCCGACCGCGCGCCTGGGGCCGCAGAGCCAAAGGAGCTGAAAACAGGACAGGGGATGTGGGGACAGGGGAGAGCGGAAAGGTACTGCCCTACTGGCCCAGAGATGTTCTCCTACTGAAAGGAAAAAAAAGTGCTTACTCATAGGGAGAGGAGGTGCGATCGCGACGCCCTCACTAAGGACGAGGGAAGCAAGCAGAAGGCAGGCAACCCAAACCTCGTTCCTCCCTTCAGCCACGGCCCCCCCTCTCCAGAGCCCCAGGGTCAGCTTAAGCCAGCCAGGTCACCCGAGGCTGGCCTGTGGGGGCTGGAGGAGTAGCAGGCTGCTGGCTCCGGGATTTCCTGAGTCCGGGCGGGAGGGGAGGGGGGATGGCAGTAGCTGGAGAAGGACGACAGAGGGAAGTTGTGCGCTGCTTTTCCACTTCGGGGCCGCAGCCGCGGAGGGGAATCAGGGCAACGGTTGGCGTCTAGCACTCCAGCCCAAGACTGGCAACAAGTTAAGAGTAACTAGTAAGAAAGCACCACTTAATACAGTGAAGAGCAGAAAACGTGTTTGCGGCGAGTGCTGGTAGGGAAACTCCCCGTCACTCCCACACCCATTTTGGTTGCGACCGATCGCCCGGGCACCCGAGGGCTCCGGCTGAAATTTCTCCGACCTCCCTCTCCCCCAACCCCCGCCCCGCGGTGCGAGGCACGTTCCTGCTGAGCTTAATCGAGATGCTCTCCCCAGGACCACTCCTGCCCACGCCCAGGAAACCCGCTCCCCTAGTGCCCGCCGGCGCCTACAAAGCACTTACGTAAAGTCGCAGAGTCCTGGGTCTGGCCGGACTGCCTCCGACCAACGCACTCAGACAACTTCTGCACCTCGGAATCTTTGCGGCTCTGGTTCTAAAGCCAGCGCTCCCTCCCCTCCTGCCAGCCCCCTCCGCCCCTCGGCCGCCGCCATTGGCTCGAGTGGTGCTAGCAGTCGGCCTGGGAACCAGGAAGGGGATTGGGCCACGAGCCTGTCACATCAACTGGGTCGGGATCCAGGAAAATAGGCACGGGGATGGGCACCCAGGAGGGATAGGGACTGCAACTCTGCAGCAGGGAGAGGAGAATGGTTCCCAGCGCCTGAGTCTCCCCTTCCTACTTGGGCTAAGAAGAAGTTAGAAGTCCAACGTGCCTGGCTCGGAGTACGTATTCACAAAATCTTATGGGATTAATAAAAATATGAAAAAGTTGGGAACTAGAATTTGAATGCCACCTATATAAGTCTATGGGGGAGGGGTACAGTTTCTCCCAGAATCGTGAGAAGAATAACGGCATGTTGGGGAACATTCCTAATTACATCTACAACAATCAGTCCAGGTGTCAAAGGGCACAGAGGGAAACATCAGCAATCATTCCTTTCCTTAAGAAGTCAAAGGAGAAGAATATGGGCAGGGCAGGGCTCAAGCCTTTGGCCTCATGCCAAGTAAATTGTTAGCCCACATCACCTGTCTGGTATGTTTGTCCATGTGGAGAGGAGTGAGAGGAGGTGGTTGGAAGTACCTTGGTTCCACTCTTTTGACCAGAAATGGGTATCAATTCTCATCAGTCTTCTTTCACCAGAGAAAACCTGGAGACATGTTACTGCTCCCCAGACTGCCATTTCTTCTCCTTCTCTGCCCAGGAGATGGCTTCTACGTCATAGCTGACCTCTTTCATTAATACACGTGGAGGTTATCTGCATTCCAAACCTATGGCTCATCGTAGATCCAAAATCAACTCAGAGAGCCAGAGTTTGAGGGATTCTGCAGGGGCAGGTCAAGAGACTGACTTGTGGGATAGCTGTAGAAGGAAAAAGTGTAAGCCCTTTCCTGTTTCAGTTGTAACCATTTTGTTCAGGAAATGTGTGCTTGGAAAGTTCTGTCAACATTTAAAATTAGTTCAATTAAGTCACATTTTACATATACCAGGAAAAAATGCTGAAACGCTTTAAAATTGAATGTTCTTGAAAAGGAACCCCTATTTCGTCTGCCATTATGAATTTCCTTAGAGAAATTAATCTGTAGTGAGTGCCAAGGCTTCTTAAAAGGGAAGAACTTGGGGAGTTCGTATATTGCCTAAAGGCTAGACTAGCAGAGGACTTGGCACTAGGAAAAAGCCTTGTTAAATATTAATTAATGATTAACGAACTGGAAGAACTTATGAAAGGCACAGGAAGGTGAAAAAGAAATGAGAGGGCAATCATGCTTTCACAAACATTGAATTTCTGTTATGGGAGATTTTCTACTGGTTCAGGTTTGGGTCAGGACAAAAATACTGATTTCAACATGTTGGCGTCGGATTGAACATGGAGTCAGTGTGTTGCCACACACATTTACAGTAAGCTCCCAAATGAGATTTCTAGCATTCAGTAATTGGCCCAAGGTTTGGTGTGACTTCTGGAATTCTTCACAAAAAATTTTTAGATACAGGAAATAGGCTCCTTCAGTTTTCTACCTTTTATGGTGTCTGTCAGTCACCGCTGAAGAGCTTCCACCTGCTCTTAAACTTAAAATTACAGACTGAGCAATAGCATGAAGGGACTCCGTAAGCTAAATTTTCCAGTGCAGATATATTTGTCTCAATTACGTTGTATTCAATTTTAGTTTATTTTTCAAATTCTAGAATTTAAAGTAAAAATATTAAGAATCCTATGTATATGCTATTTACGGTTCCTGTTTTTAATTCAAAAAAGCTTACATAGGGCCGAGTGGGGTAGCTCACGCCTGTAATCTAGCACTTTGGGAGGCTGTGCGGTGGAAGGATTGCATGAGATCAGGAGTTCAAGACCAGCCTGGACAACAGAGCAAGACCTCATCTCTACAAAAAAAATTAATAAATTTTTTAAAAAGCTTAATAGAATCTATACTTTGATAAAAGTGTTCATTCACCACTACCACTGAGGATGTCGGAATTCAGTCAAGAAATGTCATTTTAATCGAAATGCAATAGTCCATAGTTTCAAAGCTGCAGAGTACCTAGCTGATGGCATTAGTTCTCATTGCGTCAGTAACTTTCCAACAGATAAAACACTCCCTAAACACAGAAGCACCTATTTGGATGCTAGTTGAGATTCCTGTTTAACAAGCTCTACTGTATAATCCAGGTAGAACTCCATCTTAATGAGTATTATTAAGATAGCCAGCCAGTTTGATGTAACTAAGCTACCTTTGTGTAGCCCAGAATCTAAAGTACCTTTTCAAAGTTTAGCATTTTGCTGGAAGAAAGGAGCCCAGGCTCAAAGCTCTTAAACAGCATTTCTTTATAATCTTTCACACAATCAATTTACCTCACAGAGGATCATTCACAAGTAACCCAAAGTTGATCGTTTTCTTATCTATATCAAAAAACCTGCACAGATGTTTGTCGGGTTCCCTCCACCTGCTTATAGGCTTTAATTCATTTTGACAGTGACTTGCGTAGTTCTTGACACATAGGAGTTCAGTAAATGTTTGTTGAACTAATGGTTATTTTATGAGTCTATTCTTGTTAAACAACAGCAACAAAAAGCTATTAATATATATAGGACTCTCACAGACCTTGTGAATCAATAACCTAAGAGTTTTTACCTTTTCTTCTATTTCCAATTTTCAATCCTAATGCCTTTGTAATAAATCACTTAAAGTCAATATCGCAAAATTTTGAAAACCATTTATTCTTCCTGTCCTCCGTTGATATCATAGAAAGGCTCCAATATCCCTCTTAGGTTTTTTGTCTATCCAAACTACCTTTCTTTCCTCCTTTGATATGCACATCCCCCTTTTTCTTGCTGTTTTTCCTATTGTTCTGCCCAACACCAATACTCTCCTCAGTCTAGTTCACAAAGTATTATGTGTACAAAGTCTAAATTTTTCCCTGAAATTTTCCTAAAGTTGTCAGTTTCCTCTTTTATCCATTTTTAATTTTTTATTCTTAACATGTCATTGCTGGCTTGAACTTATTTTTTTTCTCTTGAGACAGAGTTTCACTCTTGTCACCCAGGCTGGAGTACAATGGCGCAGTCTCAGCTCATTGCAACCTCTGCCTCCCGGGTTCAAGCGATTCTCCTGCCTCAGCCTCCCAGGTAGCTGGTACTATAGGCACCTGCCACCACACCTGGCTAATTTTTGTTTTGTCGATAGAGATGGGGTTTCACCATGTTGGCCAGGCTCCTCTCAAACTCCTGACCTCAGGTGATCCACCTACCTCGGCCTCCCAAAGTGCTGGGATTATAGACGTGAGCCACCGTGCCCGACCACTGGCTTGAACTTTTTATCCATTTTTTATTTTATTTTACTTTATTGTTTTCTTCTTTTTCCTCGTCCTGCCCAGGATAATTTTTATCAATTTTTTTAAAACCTCCTTTCTGTAGTCTATTAAAATATGATTTTGGGGCACAAACTTTATATGTCAGGAATAACTTAAAGAATCTTGATCAATTCAATACTAAATCATTTTTCTAACACACCTAATTGTTTTCTCAGTCTCTAAATGTACAATTGTGTACTAATTTGTTTTAATTAATTATTTTTTATTTTATCAGATTATTTTCAAGGAATTATCCTTTTTTTTAAATCATCTTTTTAATTCATGGATAATTCTATTCCATGTTGTGATATTTTAAGTTCTTGGATTGATCCTAATCCCTCTTTTTATTCAGTATGCTGTGAGATGACATTTTTATTAAAATTAAGTATGATTTTAAAGGTTTCTCTTATATTTAAAGTATTTGGCATAGAGGAAATCTTGAAAGACCTGGACAATTCTTAATTTTTTTTTGACCCATAGGATACAGATTTGAACAGTTATTACCACTGTTTATTAGTGAATTGTTTTTATGTTTCCAGCTCAAAATGTACACATATATAGCACATGAATATTAATAGTGAATAGGCAATTGTCAAATATTTTTCAAACCTAAAGGTCATTATGAATCTGAATGTTTGCTAATGCAGGCCAACTATCTTACACGCACATTCACATAAAGAAATTACTCTGACATGTCCAAGGTTATTTCAGATATTCACTTGTAAAAAAAGAATAATTATCAGTATCTGAGAATAAGAAAAAACAAAAAAAAGACAAAAAATCAATTGAAGTATCTTTAATAAGATTAGGACATATTTAATCAGTATGGACTTTATAATATATAGATTTAATAAAGGTCATTATCATCACTGGAAATGCTCAAAATTAAAGTGTCCCCCCCCCGATTTTCTGGCTGTTAAATATCTAATTAATCAATCAGATAACTATTATAAGCAACATAGAAAAAGTATGGTCTCAAACCACAATGAATTAATAGTCTAATATTCAAATTCAAGATCAATATTCAATTCAAGATCAAAGTACACATAACTGAAAGAGAAAACAATTCAAGATAGAATATATAAGAAGTACCATATGTAGGCTGAAAAGAATGAGAGTAATAGGGCTAAAGCCGTTATAGAAGGCATCCTTTGTGCAATGGAACTTGAGCTAGGCTTGAAAAAGATGGGTAAGACTTGATATAGGTAAGTAGAAATGAAAACCATTTTTATTCCTAGGAAGTGGTAAAAGAAGAACTTCACACAAATTAAATTTAACATAGTTTAATTGAGCAATGAATAATGGGGCAGCCACCCCAAACCAGACTAGGTGCAGAGACACTCTGGTGCTGCCACATGTTCAGAGAGAATTTATGGACAGAAAAAAGTGACATACAGAAAATGGAAGTGGGGTACAGCAACAGCTGGATTGGTTATAGCTTGGCATTTGCTTTATTTGAACTCAGTTTGAACAGTTGGCTGCCTTTGATTGGCCAAAACTCAGTAATTTTTACAAGTAAGGGTTACAGTGTGTTTACACATCTATTTAGGTTACAGTTCACTATGTATGGCAATGCTTTTTTTTTTTTTTTTTTCTCTCATTTCTTTGCTCCTCTTTTCTTCTTTCCTTCTCCTATTCTTTTCTCTTTTCTTTTTCTCTTTCTCTGTTTTTTTTTTTTTTTTTTTTTTTTGAGACAGAATCCTTGCTCGTCGCCCAGGGGCCTGGAGTGCAATGGCGCAATCTCGCTCACTGCAAGCTCCACCTCGCCCGGCGTCACCCATTCGTCCTGCCTCGCCTCCAGATAGCTGGACTAACAGGCCGCCGCACCCGTCCGCCGGCTATGTTTTCGTATATTTCGGTAACACGAGACGGGTTTTCACCACGTTAGCCCAGGCAATGGTCTCGATCTCCTAACGCTCAGTGTTCCACGCTCCTCGGCCTCCCCAAAGTGCTGGGATTAACAGGCGGTGGGACACCATCCATGCCTGGCTTTTTTTTTTTTTTGAGGATGGAGTCCTCGCTGGTGCCCACGGCGGAGTGCAGCAGTGTATCTCCACTCACTGCAAGCTCCCCTCCCCAGGTTTCAGTGCGCCATTCTCTCCTGCCCTCAGCTTGCCAAGTAGCTGCACTACAGGTGCCCGCACCCATGCCGTGGCGAAGTTTTTTGTATTTTTATAGTAGAGCACGGGGTTCACCCGTGTTAGCCAGTGATGGCCTTGATCTCCTGACCTTGTGTCCAACCCTGCCTCGGCCTCCCAAAAGTGCTGGGATTACAGACGTGAGCCACCGCGCACTACCCTCTTTTCTTTCTTTTCTTTTCTTTTTTTTCACCAGGGGTCCTCAAACTATCCACCCCAGGCCTGGAGTGCAGTGCACAACTCACAGCTTCACTGCAGAATTGCAGTACCTTGACCTCCCAGGCCTCCGGTTGATCCTCCCACCTCAGCTCCATCAGATATGGGACTCACAGGCATGCACCACCTCTCCCAGCGAAATATTTTGTGTGTTTTGTAGAGATGGGTCTCCCATGTCCTGGGCTGGTCTTCAACTTACTGGGTTCAGGGTGATCCTCCGCCTGGCTCCAAAGACGTGGGATTATAGGTGTTGAAAGCCAATGCCCCCGTCCAGTGAAAGGATTTCTTTTCAAAAACTTTTCTTTCTTTTTTCTTTTTTTTTTGTTGTGAGTATGGAGTTCTCGCTGTGCGCCTTCCCAGGTTGGAGTGCAGGTGGGCGCGTCTCGGCATGCACTGCAAGCTCCGCCTCCGGGTTCACTAACCATTCTCATCGCCTCAGCCTCCAGAGTAGCTGGACACAAGGCGCCCGCACCACGCCAGGCGCCTAGTTTTTTTGGTATTTTTAGTAGAGATGGGGGTTGTCACCGGTGATTAGACCAGGAATGGGTCTCGATCATCCTGAACCACGTCGTGGATCCACGCCATCTTGCTCCCAAAGTGCTGGGAATTTTACAGCGCGTGAGCACATGCGCCCGGGCCGCGTTAAGGATTTCTTAAACAAAGCGAGTATGCCCTACTGAGTTAGACATGCTGTCCTACACTGCAAAAGACTGGACAAAGTTTGAAATACTGAATCCCATAAGAGATTGGGAAGCAGGTTAATGTACCCCGGGGCTGGCATGGGGGAAAGGGACGTGATATACTAATGGGATGGGTTTCTTCTTCCGGGGTGATGGACAATGTGTCTGGAAGCGCGACAGAGGTGATCGAAATACACAACAACATCAGCAACACAGTGGAATGTGGGAAATGCACTGAATTTATCCGGTCAAAAGTGGTAAATTTTGCTAGACTGTGGTGGGAAAGATCACTTGAGACAATAGGAGTTTGAGCCAGCCTGGCCAAACATAGCGAGAC